TAATTTTTGATATGCTTTATTTGAAATCCTTTAAGCTGCTGAAATCCATCCAGACTACTGAATAGAGTTTTAAACACGGCATGCATGCAGACGGAAAATTTCAAGGAAAAATGGTGCCACGTATGCGGCTTCGATCGAGGCGGACATCACTGGTCCCTTCTTTCTCACAATTTCATTGTCATAATTCTTGAATAGGTACTTGTCCGCATCGCAGAATAATATTGTCATTTCATTGACTGCGGATTAAAATAGTTCACATTTGAATTTTTGTCATACAGCCGTGACAAATAATAAGTCATACCAAGCCTGATCGGTTTTGATGGCAAAATTGATCATAACATGGCAGGTTCAAAAGAGATTTAACTGTACACGCCCAAAAGTTGGGCCAGAAGATGGCCCTTTACTCTGACGGCGCCTCTCTCCAGCCAGGTGTATAAATGGATACCGGCGAATTTAATGCTGGGGGTAACCCTGCGATGGACTAGCATCCCATCCAAGGGGAAGTAGAAATACTCCTAGTCATTTCATGCTACAGAAACCGGGATAAGCTCTAGCTTGGGTCGCATGCAGACTTCACCTTTCTTCAAAAAAAAAAAATTACAAATAATATAATTTTGCGTTTTGAAAATTTGTAAATACAATGCAATCACATGTTTTTAACTAAACCGTTTACATGGAAATTTCTGCCTTTCTCTCAACGGCAAAACAAGACAGCAAAACAACAATTACAGTGCTAGCCGTATGTTCGATATTCATAACATTTCTACAAGAAGCTATGTGCGTCATATTAGGCTTTAACCTAAGAATATTCACGAGAATATTTTCAGCTTAAAATCGGAAGAAAAATAAGAATATTCAGCCGGGGCCGGAAAAACAATACTCTTATAAGTAAAAAAGAATTTAAACACTCTATTGTCTTTATTGCCCACCCCTACTGATTTCTGCAAGAGTTATTCACGAGAATATTCTCAGCTTAAAATGGGAAGAAAAAGAAAAATATTCAGCCCGAGCAGGAAAAACAATACTTATAAGTAAAAAAGAGTTTAAACACTCTATTGTTTTTATTGTTCACCTCTAAATTTCTTTCCGCGCGCCAGTTCAAAAAATCATATTGAATTATTTTCAACTTTTTTAGATCAAAGGTGTGAAAGACAAATGTAAAATCTGAAAAGAAAACAGACAAATTGCGCCTTTCAACTTTTTGTTCTATAAACCTGCTTGTTTACAGAAAAAAATTCACGGACAAGTAGTATCCATCTGGGTATTTTCCATCTAGGTATTTTCCTTGGACGTGCACTATGATCAGATATATAGTATGCTAACTCACTTGTGACTAGTATCGTGGCCCGCTGTTTGTCATGACGGAGATTGATAACACTCATTCTCGATGAGTTTGCCGTGGAGACTTCTATCAGGAATGTCGACAGTGGTTTCTAGACTCTTGAGTTAAAAATAGAACTTTTTGCCCGTCATATGAACTAGCTAGACAGATGATTTAGTTCCTCTTCACTAAATTTTGAGGTGGCTAATCCTTCGAGTTTCGTGGTTAGGGAACTGAGTGCGGTGACTTCGCGAAACAAGTTCCGAAGGGGAAAGCTAGTCCAACGGCAGCATTGAAGGAAAAAACCTGAATGCAAACGAAAAAAGATAGCGCTCGTGAGATGCTCTAGGATGCTACCTCTAGAATTATGAACATGTCCCCGTAAAACTAGCAGTCGTGATGGAAATCAGAGAGACAGCCGAGTAGACTCGCTTTAGACCACGAGCAAACTTGGGAAAATTTTGATATCCTTTCGCCTAATCCATGCAGACGCACCCGTAAGTTTAATTTGGAGTGATTCCTTTCATACAAGAATTCGATGTCAGGGTGGTTTAGACTCGTTTTACACGAACCCATTTTTATCTGCATGTGGATGATACTTTATCAGAAACTAATAAGGGAAGCCACATTTAAAAGAACACTGACCAACAGTTAAAACACAGGTACGCTACATTCACTTTTTGACATATTTCTTGTTAGAATCCACCATTAATTTCCGTTAAATATGAAGATATGTGCAAGTTGGAATTACTTAAAACCTCTGAAACGGCTGGTGTGAGAATTGGACACATTGTACTTCATATGCAAACTATACGCTAAGAAGATTGACAAGAAGTAACTTTGAATTTGCCGTAAATACGAACATACACCTACATAAACCGCTGAAGACCTTGTCAAGAGCAACCGAAATCGATCGGAGTTATTTTTGTCCTATTCGTCCGAGAAAATGTTGTAATTTTCTGTATTTTCTACTTACGAGTGTCATATAACAGCTTCAGCGATGAACCTTTCCGAAGGAACAAAGTTACATACGAAAGAAATGAATTCAGGAGACATGTTTATATAATCCCCGCATTAAAAAAAAACACATAATTCCTTTTTATTACTATTAGGAAGGCTGCCAAATAATTTCAAACTAGAAAATTTAATAACTGTCTTGAAGGTATTGAAATGCCTCGTAAATCATTTCACCTGACCAAACTTGGTGAAAACACTGGCAATCAAATGATTGCATACAAAGCGACTATTTTAAGGGTTCTTGTTTACTGAAATAACCGGGCATTGAAACGGTTTTCAGCCATCTTCCATCACTGAATGGTCAGAGAGCTCTGCAAATATCCACACGCAAACTTTGCACGTAAAATGGCATGAGGTCGAACAAACACGAACAAACATGGCACGAAACTCCACCTTAAATTCGTGGTTTCTCATCGATGAGGAAAACCGTAAATTCTAAAGTTGATCTACTGTAGTAGCTTAAGTTCACTGTAAGATCGATTTACTATGATCAAAAAAGTCTACTGAAAAGCTAACGCGGGACAAAAAATGTGCGGAGTCAGCATATATTCGATGAGTGAAGACAGTAAAAATATTTTCGTGTGGCAAATGCCCAGCTAAAGAAAGTATCAAATTTTTACGGTATTGAACTTGTTCCAAATTTATCAAGCGTACAATTTATTTACATCAGTTTTGAAGTAAACTAATTTCTGTATACCGGCGCCGCTAATTAAATTAGCGGTCAATCATTCAAAAAGACTGAAAACCAAACATCCAAAAATTCATTAAGTAAACATTTTTACCACACAAGTGAATAGTGCTTTTCACGGGTTCTGATTGGTTAATTCGGAGGTGATTAGAAACGTACCGTTCACCTCCGAGCAGCCAACGCCCTCGGTGTCGGTGAAGGTGGTGGATATTTACCGAGTCTTTCACCATTCACCTCCACTTCGGTGAACACTGATCACAACTTCGTGTCGGTATAGCACGAAAAAACCGCACGAGTCAGCCCTAACAAAAAAGTAGGACATGTTGGCTATAGAAGTGGACTTTGCGATATTGGCAAACGTCCCTGTCTGTAAAATGTGGCATCAATCAATCAATCAATCAATCGATCGATCGATCGATCGATCGATTAATTTATTAAAGTCATTGCGTGGGACTGAGGTTGCCCTCAGTATCCGAGCCAGAGGCTCATCTATAAAACGCATGACTAAAATAAAAGAGATAAAAATTAAATAAGTAATAACAATAATAAGATACATACATGGAATTGTTAACAATTATCATGCTATCCAACTATCCAACAAGCTAGACAATAATTATTTAAAAATAGATGAGTAACCAGTAACGAGTAATGAACATTACTCGTTAAAGACTACAGACTGGCAGTCGAAAGCTCGTTTTAAACAAATTTTTAACCAGAGATCGTTTTTCTATTTTTCCAATAATTATTTAGTTATAAATATAAACACATCTGACCTAAAATTGTGATAAAACCCGTAGTCGAGACAGGTACTCAGTCACCTCAGTCAACCGAGACAAACTGGTGCAACATACAAAAGTTTGTCGGTACCCAACTACGGAACTGCTCGTATCGTGTTAAGAAGTCCGAGTGCTACGAGGTCCCTTCCGAGTTAAGTAACGCCACGGCTCCTAACGACCCTACAAGGTGTGACCGGTTTGACAGCGACACCGCTCCTACTGGTATCCAACCACAGCTCCCACCTCAGCCCCCCAGTATCCCCATGCAGATCGCTGCGCCCCCCACCTCTACGTCCAAGGACTGCCACAAACCCATGCCAGCCCCGTGGAGGAATTCGAGGAACAGCACAAGGTCGACCCCCCTACTACCACTGATGCCACTGATGCGCAGGAAAGTGCAAAGGATGTCCCATCATTCACCCC